AGCCTTGCACGTGAGAGGCACAGTGGAGGTGGAGTTCAAAGAAGAATGAGAAATTTAATGGTTTCAATTTGCCCTTGTTTTTTCTTTTTCTTTTTGTTTTTATTTTTATTTTTGCATGTTATCACTGTGCCCGTTTTTTGCTTTTATTCTTTGTTCCGCAAAGTGCGCTCGTTTAGTTTGTAGTGATGTGACAATATATATATATAGAGAGAGAGAGATGGACAGATGGCTGGGCGGCTGGCCAGCTTGCGTTGAATGGTGTTATTCTTCGCTGGGCCTGAGTGACATTGCTTCAGAGACTGACTTGACACACTGGCAAGATGTTTGCAAGAGAGATTCCAGCCGGATCGCTGGTAAGGAGACAGGTTGATGGTTACTGTGGTGGCGAGTGAGAAGAGAGGAGCGCGTAGGTAGAAGAGTGAAGACAGTAAAAGACTGTGTCGCAGTTGTCCATTATCTGAGGTGAACCTGTTCTTCCTATTCTTATTGCTCTGTCTGGAGCTGGTCTACTTCACTCTCCCTTGTTGATTGCCATTCTTTGAGCACCGTGAGTTTCATGCATGGTGTTGAATCTGTTGATAGTGTGAGCTCCTCCGATTTGGGTTCATTGCAACAGTGATTTGAGCACTCTTTCAAGGTTATAGGGTGAAAACTCGAAAAGCCTGCGCAAAAGCTGATGAGCAGGTATTCTCCACTGTTGATGAGCAGACATTGTACAGAAGGTTGTGGTGATTCTATTCTTCTCCTTGACAGCCATGCCTGCACAATCGAAGGATTTTGACTTCAGCACTACATCAGCATTTTGACTTCAGCACTTCATCAGGGAGAGTTTTTAGTACTTTTTACCGAATCTTTTTATACCGAGCTTCGTTAGAACGAAGCTCTCATCTTGTGAAGGTGGATAAGTCTTACCGTGGATGCTCTGTTTGGATGATGGACTGGTTTTATTCTGCGCACATTTTTTCTTGCTTTGTTGCTAAGAAGTGGATCTGTATGGCTGTGTTTTTGTGCAGGAGGAAATTGTTGACGAGACGGATGAATATGTTGATGTCCACAGAAAGTGAGTAATGATGGCTCAGTAGGGGTTAGTGAACCCTTGTTCTCTTGCAATGAAAAATGCTGATGATTTCAATCTTGGTTTCAGACACAGCACGTACCTTCCTCTCCGCTAGGAAGAATGCGTGGTGCAGTCACAGGCGCACAGCAGAATATGGAAAGGGGGCCGTGTGGCTGAGTGGTACGCACATGTGAATGACATAACTGTTAGTAAGAAGGTTATCAGATGGGTGCCATAATGTTAGGGCTGTCCCTCCCAGATCACTCTAGCTGACTGTTGCCTCTGTCTGGCCTGTATAAAACATTATGTCTCTCTCTGAGCTCTTGCTTTGATTGTACCTTGTATGGTTTGGGGAGGACTCAAGTAATCAATCCCCTGGTAGAAGGTATCATATACACTCTTTGGTGGTTTGCTCAATGTAGAGCTGTCCTACCAAATGAGTGCCTCTCTTCTCAACCCTGTCGCATGCGCAGGCATGTGTCAGAGGATAGACCATCATGTGTTCGACAACACCAAGATTGTGTTTTGTTCCTGTTATTTTTCTATGTTCGTGTCCACATAGCCATCGCTTTGCTTCAGGAATACAGATGAAATGGGGGGGCCAAAGAGAATTGCAGAAGGGGAGGTGGAGGCATTCACTTCAGCAGCTTGCATTTGTGCAGAGACCTTCAGTGAGCTTGCTAAGCAACCCTCGTTCATAACATAGAAGTTGATATAACTCTTAAACACCAGTACTTTTCCCAGTCATTTTATGGGAGCAAAATGGCTGGCGGGGCCGTCATAGAAGATCTCCCTCGCCCTTCTTTTTTTGTTTTTGGCGTGCAGGGGGAAATCAGCTTCGGCAAAAGAAGCCTTCAAGTACCAGTCGTTTACGTTTACGTGACTGTAATGACACACCATGTTGAACTAGTTTTGACTGATGTTTTTGCAGCATTGAAAAAAGTGAAATTCGTCACAAACAGTTTTGTGAATGCATACGTAAAAGAAATCCTCGGCATCGTCCAATCCAGCAAATTAGAATTGAAAGAAGAAGCAAAGTAAGGGGCTTGCCGCTTTCTTTCTTTCTTTCTTTCTTTCTTTCTTTCTTTCTTTCCGTCTCATTGATGAAACAAGCGGGATGTGTTGCGTAAAGTCTCTGAGGATCCCAAACAGCTCGGCGGTCGCTGGTTAGGGCGAGCGGCCGTACTTTTTTGTGATTTTCTGCTGATCGAACATTGCTTAAATAAATAGCTGTACCAGACAAAATAACGATGATGGAGGTACCAGAAAAGAGTAGAACAAAGCTAAAAACAGATTTGGTTGAATCAACAGAGCCAGAGGTCGGAACCCTTAAATCAGGCTGTTCAAGTCTATCAGAACAAGTTTCCTCAACTACCTGAGAAGCTTCTGGAAAAAAGCAACTTACGACACCACTGAAATAAATTTTGATTTTATTAAATTTATTGGCAATTGTGTGAAAGTAAGAAATATATTTGTGAGTTTTTTGAACTTTTTTCGATGTGGAAAATAATTTTTTGTGTGTCTTCTTTTCTTTTTTTTATGTGCACAATACAAAGGCATCAGCGGCATAGCAGAGGAGGAGGGGGGGGGGGGGGGG